TGAATAGACCCAGAGCACAGGCCTGGGGTGTGAGTGAGACTGACCACTCCCCCAGATCCTGAATAGACCCACAATAGGCCCAGTGAGTGAGTGAAACAACCTGGGGCTGCGGATCCTGAATGGACCCGGAGCACAGGCCTGGCATGTGAATGACACCGCCTGGGGCCCACTAGACACTAATTCAACCCAGAGTGCAGGCCCAGTGTGGAACCCCTCAGCAGAACTCCCTGCAAAGAAGCTAGAGCCAAGACCCACCCAGCTGATTCAGGAGCAGAACATCTTGCTAGAGGGATACAAAGGGTTCAAATCCAAGGGCTGCAGCAGGAAGAAGTGGAGCACAGCAGCCAGACCCAGCCAGATCCAAACAACACTCACCTGGAGGAATCTAAACTTTGTAGATCTGGAGCTGGTGCTAAGGTTATAAATATATCTAAGCTCTACGCCAAAGGACAGAAGACAGTGGTATACAAAATGACAAAGAGAAGGAACAAAATGCAGTCTCAGGCCCTGAGTCCACCCAGTACAAATGTAGAAGACACTAGCATAGAGGAAACTGGAAATCACACACCTGATATCTCTGAAATAACAGCATTGGAAGTGAAGAAACGATTGCACAAAAGTATAGAAGAAATCAGATCAGAAATAATTTCTGAACTAAAAAATGTAGTGATAACTATAATCAAAGAAGTACTAAGTACATCTAAAGAATACACTGATAAAAAATAGAGCAGAATATAAAAATGATGGAACCCCTAAATAAGCAACATAGGAAAGATATAGACTGTATGAAACAGAATCAAAGTGATATACAGGAAATTAAAGCCTCAACCACAAGCTGGAAAAACTGTTACAGTGAAAGTGAAAATAGACTTTCTGATCTTAAAGACACCATTGCAGCTAGTGAAAAAGTAAGAAAAGATCTCTTAAAAACAACTAGGATGCAGGAAAAAAATTCAATACCTGCAAGACAATGCAAAGATGAACAATGTGAAACTAATAGGCATCAATGCGAAGGAAAGAATCAATACAAAAGATATAAAAAGAATATGGGCAGAAGTAAGAGCAGAAAACTTCCCAAATATGGGGTAACAATCTGACATTCAGGTAAGCAAAGCATATAGAACTCCAAATAACATCAACCAATGAAAACCACACCCAGACATATAATAATCAAGACCCCAGAAATTCAGCACAGGAATAGTATACTAAAAGCCACTGAAGAAAAGAAACAGATCACATTTAAAGGAAAATCCATTAGAATAACAACAGATTTCTCTTCACAAACCACCAAGTCAAGAAGAGCATGGAGTAAAGTACTCCAAGTCTTGCAAGAAAAAAATTCCAACCCAGACTGATATACCCTGCAAAACTCTCTTTCAGGTATAATGGAGAAGTGAAATACTTCCATGACAAAGAACTACTAAAGAATTTCATGATGACAAAGCCAAGCCTGCACACACTACTAAATGATGTTCTAGAGAGGGAACAAATTGATCACAGCCTCAAGAATGAGAATGGAAAGAACCCACCAAATAGGCAAACAATTAAACACAGGAGAATAAGAGGTATACAATAGTAGTAGTCTTTCAGTTATTCTTTTGTGCTCAGCAGCAAAATATTTCCATCAGCACACTCTACAAATGGACTTCTCTTCCACCCTATGGGTCATGGTTCCATCTGAGTCTACAGGGTGGATTTCAAAGAAATAGCTGTAGCTCAGTGCCACAAGTGATGCCTGACCACCAGTAAATGTCATGGTCATTATGCATGTCCACAACACACTAGAACTTGGTCATTTATTTGCCATTCCAGTATTTATCTTATGTTTTACTCTTAGTACTTCTTTGCTATCATGAAAACTTTTCCTCAGCTCAATTGTTTTGAAACATTTAATTTTTAATTAATTATTATTTAGTTTTCTGATTATTGCTTAATCTTAATTTTTCTTGTAAGATTTATACTATATCTTTGACTTACAATTTATTTAAAAGACATTGTATGATATCTTCTCCTAGTATTTTTAACTTTAAAAAGTATATATCCATTTTCTGTTGACTTTATATTACTTCTTCTTCCATATATATATATATATATATATATATATATATATATATATATCCTCACATAAGATTGATACTGTTTCATAGAAATCTTCAATGACCTTTAAGTAAGCGTTCATCTAATATATATTATATAGTCCTGCATAACTATCATATTGAGAGTTCTTTATTGTTCATCTGGGAGCATACTGTAATTTCTCTTGCCTTTTGAATTATGCTCTTTGTTATTTCCTATATGCTACTTCTGTAGGTACTAAAATATTTCAAGTTTGTATAACTAGAAAATCTTACTTTTAATTTTCAAAGGTATGTTTGGTAAGTATAAAATTCAAAGAGGACAGATCTTTTCTTTCAGTCCTGTAATTAGTCTAGTTTCTTACACACTTGGTCCTTTTTTTCTTTATAATGTGGAATAAGATGCTACTTAATTATGTCCTTCCATAGCTAATATTTTTTATGTATATATTTTAATAATTTTTTTTTACAATAAGTTTTGGAGAATTTCATTTTTGTGTATCTTGGTATGATTTTATTTAAAATTCTTGTGCAAAAGTTTCATTTTTCTTGGAATTGCAGTATTATAAGTTGAACTAAATTCAGAAATTTTAAATCTTTAAACATTTATTGCCTACTCCTTTCTACTTTGAGAATTCTAGTTATATGAACATAAGTTTTTGGTTTTGACATAGTGAACTATTATGACTGATTTGTGAATTATTTCATTTTTATTTTGGACAATTTTTATTGTTGTATTCAATTATGTTTGTAAATAATTTATTTTAAATTTGCAATCTGTTAAAAAATTAAGAAAAAATGGAATGTAACAGAGGGAATGGGGATAAAGGTCACATGGCATACGAAGAGTAAAAGTGATCTATTCACATGTGTGCACAGGTAAGACAGCATGTACCCTCTTATTTTTCATCTAACATACATTGGGAAAACATATGAAAGACAAAATTTGTAGATGATAGTAGAAAAGTTGAAGACAAAAGGCTACCAGAAATGAATAGCTGAAGACAACCCAAAATGTAGCAAAGTCTAGGAGCATGCAAATTCAAGAAGGTGAAAAGTGTTTCCTACAAGATCAGTTAAGGTCAGTGGTGTATAGGAGACAGGAAAGAGTCAAAGAATAATATAGGTACTCTGAGACAGTGGAGGCAATCACGCACAGAAATGGTAGATCAATATGAGAGATGAATCCTCTAGATCAAACCAAAGTCTGTGTACTAGAGAATGGGAAGAAGGGTACAAAGTTTTAGGTTCTGTTTTGGAACTTGGGTTGAGGTCAGGATGTGTAGGCCAAGAGGTTGAGCTTGGTCCTCAAAGCAATGCCAGCATTGAGGATTTCCTTTGGCCAGTACCTACTTCTGCCATATTAGAGAATAGTTACTCTGGCTGGCAAATTAAACAATTGTCACTTCATACTCATTCGGTTCCGGCCAGTGAGATAGGGGCAAGTGTCCAGATCATGAAAATGAAAGGTAATCTAGTTCAATGAGAGTTTGCAAGAAAACTAACAGTTTCAGGGGAGAAATTATAGTCCACACAGTAGGCATAATCACAGCAAGTGCATCTTAAACCCTCAGAGTGATTATATATTTAAGCTGAAAGAGAGAAAAAGAGTAGAGTCACTTTTCCTATTGTCTTTTGAAAAGAAGTCTGAAGTCCTCCACAGGTTCACAGGTGTATTGGGATTTAGGTAGTGTCTGAAGTTGTAGAAGAGGGGTGCATTTCCAAGTCTGCAGAAGAAGTCTACAGCTTTGCTCAGAGGGAGCCTACAAAGAAGCAGGAACCCAACAAGAACAAGTTAGGGAGCTCTTGTGACACCTGTGTCAAAAAAAGAATAAGAAACTGGTGTAGTTTCTGCCTCAGAGAAAGCTTTCTCATTACACTGTGAATGTTACCTGTTTTGTTGTTCTTTCTGAATTTCCACATGTTCTGAAGACAAAATTTCATATAGCTGCTTCTGGCCTTTTGTACTATTTTGAAGTAAAATCTAACCA